ATCACAATTCATTTTACATTGAGAAAATTTAAGACAATCTTTACATAAAACATTTTCATTCTTGAACATGATATGTTTATTATAAATCACATTTATATTGGTTTAATAAAAATCATAAAGATCTCTTAAATATTGAATAGGACATTTCTCACCTTTTCTATTTTGTTTTTTTTTACGATCAATTGTAGTTTTGAGAGGAGGTTCACAAAAACAACCTTATATAAAGGAAGAGATTCAATCTCATCAACTTTTCTATCGATATAATCCTTTTCGTATTTATCAACTAGAAATTTATTGAATATCTTGATATCCTTATATTTACAATCTTCAATAATATAATCATAATCCAAATATTTGGTGAGTTAAGCTCTTTTCTCGTAGAAATTTGTTATCACACTCTGAAAAAAAAAACAATTTTTCTCTTTATTTTTATAAAATAGATTATGTTCTTCAGGTAGTTCAAGAGAAGCTTCTTTGAACAGAAAAACAGAATATCCATTTTGTTTCAAATAATAGTAGAATAAATTTGCCACAAATGTTTTTCTTGCACTGATGGTTCCTGTAAATACAATTATTTTTTTTTTCTTCTTGGATGTTAAAAACATGCAAAAGAAAATGAATAATATAAAAAATAAAATAAGAGCCACAACTTCAATTGGTATAGATCGAATCATTTTTACACAAATAAAAATCTATTTGGTCATATAACTAAATAGATTATTAAAACAATTATTATTATTTGTTAGATTATTACAATTTAACAGATAAAACTTATTAACTAAACTATAAAACATTATTTAAGCATCTAATGACAATTTTTTGTAATTAACTCATACACCTTCTAATAAATCTTATTAAATGCGAAATAGAATTTATATTCAACTATGTTATTCAATACAGGATCTAATTTATAATTAATAATTCTCATGATTTTCTTTTTGGAAGTTTTGAATTCGGTTTTGTAATATTTGAAATCGAATTCTTCCAATTCTTCCAATTGGATTTTCAATGCTATTCTCATATATGAAGTGCAATGATTATTATTATTATTATTAGCTTTTACATAGCTATCAAAGATTGATAAGAGACCATTCAATCTTGCAAGTTCTTGAGTTTGTTCATCAAATAATTTTGACATTTTGTATGCAATTGTTTTAAAGTTTACGAAAAGAAAAATTTGTTCAGTATTAAACTAAACAGATACTAGTAAGATGAATAATGGGAAAATTTATTTACATTATTTCTTTTGATAACTATCTTATCAATAGAAACATTTTCTCCTAATAAACTTAATACATTAAAACTATCTGCTTTTAAATTAACTAATTCTACATAATTATCATTATTTGATTTGTAGAAATTCTTAATAATTCCTACAAATTGATCTTCATTACAAATTTTGATATTTCTTTTGGATGTTTGTACCCAATGTTTTGCTCTAGGTGTTGCTATTTTTCCTTTTAATTTTTCACTATTATAAACAATAATTTCAAGAAAATTTGATGAAAATTTAAAATAGCTGATTCAAAACCTTGTACAATTTGAACAGATATAGATGTTTCAGTATTTTTACATTGAACAAGAATAAGTTTTTCCTTATAAGTTACAATAAGATCAATTCTATGATCACCTTGCATTACTTTAATTTCATAAGCTAATAAACCAAAAGCTTCTGCAATTTTTCCAATAATTCGTTCAAAATCATGACCAGATTTATAATTTTTTATCTGAAATAAAAAATATATGAGTACAAGAATTCTCTTCACCAGTGTTTGCAATACTAACATCTTGGAAATATAACTCTAACTCTAATATCAGTTTCTTACAAAATAATAGAATATATCCTCAGCATATATATGCATTCAGAATATACTTCTATTTTGTTATAGTAGCATAATTCGAATTCATAAATACAAAGTAAAATAACACAGCCAACTTACTTTTTTTTCTTTTTCAACAGTAGTTATTTTTTAGTTTACATAGTTAAAAATCCAACTGGTTATTAAACTAGTTGGATAATTTATTTAATAAAATAAAAATATAACAAAATAAAATAATAATAATAAAATAAATAA